AGGTAAATTTTCCTCGAGGAATTTTAGTAATCGAGGTACTCGAATCATTCGAGGAATCGTTTCAGCCCTAATTGTAATTTATTTTTTAAAGAGGAAAGCGAGAAAAAAAAATAAATTAAAATCAGATCTGGTAGGAAAAATTCAGGTTTTATATTTGGGCAAAGTTCTCTAGCCCAACATGAAGACATTTATTTCATATTAATGACTTTGAAATAAAATATTTCTTTACATTAAAACACTAACAATAAACTAATCCAAACACACAACCATATTTATCACATTACTATGAAAACTATTAAAATGTGTATATTTTTCTACCGTAGTTCTTCTTCAGACTCTTGTGCTGTTAAAGTATCCAAACCTCTTCTGTTGACACTGACATCATGTCATTAAGTTACGCTGACCTTCATTGTGTTGCGACAGGTCAAGGCCGGCTGCCCCTCGCCACACAACCTCCTTTGCTCTGATTGGTCAGTGGAATTGGCCTGATAAATAGGCTCCTCCCTTCAAAACAAACCTTTTAGTGGCTGCAAACAAAATGAGCTGCCAGCTCTCTGTAACTTTGTTTAATTACACATGTATGTTCTTGGAAAGGCAGAGTATTCATTAGAAATGGCTAAAATATCTTTATGTTTGACATTTTAGTCAAAATGTTGGTGATGAGATGACTTGTACTTCAAATCTTTTTTAGAAATGAATCATTTTAGTTTTTTACTTTTTTTATTTTTGTTGTTCTTACAATTATTGAGTCAAAACCTGCTGGTTTCTGGACCATTTCATCCGGATCCGTATTGAGCTCCATGCCATCCTGTGAATGAGCTCAGCTCCTCTCAGGGAAAATGACACATTTTATTGTTTTTCTTTGCCCGTTTTCCTTCACAGCTTCTATAGCAGGTGTCTGATGGTGTTCTCATAACTGAGGCCTGGTGAATGAAAAGCATTCATAGTGAAGATGGAAACTGAATAATACTAGAAATCCAGAAAGCCTAATTTGGTTCACTACTCAGAGCTCAACATCTGAGATGGTCCAAGACATCAGACGACAACCTCGATCTGAAAATGTTTGGCTTGGAGGAAAGAAATCAATTATTTAGACTTTAATTTTTTTCTAAATGGTAAACTCAACACATTGAAACACTGTTTGACAGGGTGTGCATAAAACTGACATAACACCTGTCATAAATGAACAAGACAGCTAAACTCCTTCCTTAAATGGGAAGGAGTTTATGAATGTTTGACTGCTGTCATGAAGTGTTATTCAGTAAATAATGACACTTTTAATGCAAAGTTTGCACTAGAACTTGTATTAAAAGTCCATTTAAAAAATGGTAAAGTTTGCGTAAGTGTCATCATTTACTGAATGACACTTCATGACAGCAGTCAAACATTCATAAAAACTTCTTCATGTTCATAACAGGTGTTATGTCATGTTCATGAAAGTTTTATGCGCATGCCGTCAAGTAAAGTGTTGCCCTGAAGCCTAAATACAAGCTACTTTCAGTGTCAGTGAAGTATGAAGATGTAAAAGTCAAGGAATGATTTTTTTTTTTACAACATAATGACATAATGTCTCCAAATCATTCAAGTTGCTTTCTTTTATCATTTTGAGTTTTCATCCTGAATTTGAAAACGTTTGACTCTTGGGAGTCGGAGTGAGCTCTACAGGAAACAAACTACTCTTTTAGAGCGCCTATCAGTGCTAATCTGTTATAATATGCCAAAGACTTTTGTTTATAATGGTAAAACCTGTTTTACAGCAGCTGTGATGTCACCTCTGCTTTCTATGTAGCTCACTTGCTCACTGCAAGAAAGATGATCATTCTTAAGTTATTTTTTTCCAGCCCTGGCAGAGAATTTGGAATCAGCTAAAATTTGTTGGCAGGTCAATGCTTTCGACAAAACGGATCAAAAACTGATATTTGATATTCAGTGTTTCCTTATTTTTTCTGACATTCATTCAAAATTGAGACTGTAAAATATACCGCATTAAAAACACGATTAGGATTTCTTCCCCCAACACGTCCAGACGTCTCTTGTCGTTCATTCTGTCGGATGCAGAACACAAAAAAGCAAATCCGTTAAGACGCCACAGAAAATCGAATTTCGGTGAAAGATCATTTTGCATTTATTCAGCTGTTGCCGTTACTAGAAGCTCAGTCACTGTGCCACTCCCCGAGACCGTGATCCATTAGGAGCTTCAGGTTGCAAATCTGAAAATCCTTCAGTTTTTTTTTCCTTGGGGAAACAAATCATAGAGTAACAACAGAAATGCAGTATTAGGATTAGCAGCAGAAATGACTGGACTCGCTCAACAGGTTGGGGAGTGTGCTTAACATGGCGTGATCTCGCACACACCTGAACATCAGCGCAGCACAAAGAAGTCATGCAACAACCGTAACCTAACAACACGCCTGGCAACAACCGACAACGGCTACATCCGTCCTCTGAAGCCTGTTGTTTTCTTTCTGTACCTTCCTGTCTTCACGTCCCTCTGGAGTCAGTTGTTGTGTGAGACAAGGTGCGACTTCTGCTTGAATAGTCTGCCAGGTAGACGACTTTAGGAGCTGGTTTTATGGAAGCACCACTTATATGCCAGTTTTTCTTTTTTTTTTTTTTAAGGCTGCACAGTCTAGAAAACGAGTCTAGTCAAATGTAATAGTAGCTCCACAAAACAGCAGCATATAAGAAACCCAACACCTGACTTGGCGATCTCGTCGTGTCCAGATGTGAAAGCACTTCAAACATTTCGCCCACAACAAAATAACCTCAACAACAACCCGTTTATTTGCATGTACAACCGGTAACGGACATCCAATCGCACAGGAAGCAGGTTTAGCCACCGGAGGAGCTGATAGGGCTGCCGTGCCGGTTCTGGGATCTGGGTGTGAACGTGGAGTCTTCAGGGAAGAAAACTTTGATCAGAATCACTCATCGACTCATCGACTCCGTCATCTGCATCCGGGGAAACTCGTTCAGCCGCACGCAGGTTGATGCTCGAGAACCAACAGATTGAAGTTTTTCTTTGTCCCCGTGGAACTGAGGCTGCAACAGCAGCTGCTTAGTGATGCCTAGATTTGTCTGAACAGCTCCATAAAAGTAGCAGAAGTGATATATAAATATCTATATATTGCAGCATTTGTTACATTTTCACACTGCACTGTGTGAACGATTCGTTTGATCGTCCACACCTCGCCGAACGAACCGTGCTGTCCAGTCTTTTTGGAGTTTGATCAAAGCGGCACAAACAGGGCCAGTGTGAACGCACCATTGATGACTTTAATGAGCTGAATCTACAAACACGGTACTAAATATTTTTAAATGACTCATGTTTGTTCTCTCTCTTCAGCTTACTGGCGGTTCTGGCTCTGCGTTAGTGTCGTCTATGAACTCTTCCTCATCTTCATCCTCTTTCAGGTGTGTATCCAATCAAATGGCTCTTCTTTGTAGGCTGTTTCTGATCATGAAGCAGCAGAACTTCTCTACTGAAACACTTGATTTCATTCCCTTTAAATCTGACTGCTTGCTGATGTTCTGGATGGAAGCCGTTAAGACATCCTAAACACCGGCCAAAATGTCAGATTTTTTTTTTTTTTTTTTTTTTTTTTTACTTTTTTTTTCTTCATTTCCTGGTGTTTCTATATAGTGGTCACTGGAAGCCTCTTTTCTGTCTCCCAGTTTAATTAAAATGTCAAGACGCCAACCCTGATCTGTAGTTTAGAGACGTCAGCCAGCTGGCCAGCAGCTCCAGTAAAGCTAAAACTTGATCAAAGTTTTATGTATGTTTGATGCCCTAATAAGATTACCATGTTCTGTATGGAAGACTTATCTTGCCAAAATTTTGAATATATATATACACACACACACACACACACACACACACACACACACACATATATATAAATAAATAGCTTAGTAAAGTAATTAATGTGCCAAAAAGGATAACTTCTCCAGATTATTGCATTATGCAGTGTGGCATTATCATTTTAAATATTACTATTTAATTTTCCATTTTATTTCCAATCTCATTTTTTTTGTTTCTCATATTCTGTATTCAAGACGTTTTTAAATCTACTGCCACTTATTCATCCTACGTTGATATAGTTTTGCTAACATCAATGTAGTGAAACTTTACTTCTAGATTCACTTCTAGAAAAATTAATCTAGAAGTGACGGTCATTTTTATAAACAGTCGAGTACATAAAAAATCTGACGGATAAAAGTTGACTTATTAAAAAAAATAACATATTAAATAATTGACAATATTTGGCACAATAATTACTTTACCAAGCCATTCTTTTTTTTTTTTTTTTTGTGAATGTTGACAATTTTGGCAGGATCTGTCCTCCATAGATGTGCAAAAGAGCTTCTTTTCAAGTAACCTTGGTGTTTTTCTTTATTACAATGTCATGAAACAGACTGTGCACGATGGGCGACAGTTCATGAAGTACATCGACCCTAAACTAGGGGTCGCTCTGCCTGAGCGCGACTATGGAGGAAACTGCCTCATCTACGACCCGGGCAACGCCACGGATCCTTTTCACAACCTCTGGGTGAGAGTCTGAAGTGTTTCAGTCAATCTCACGCTCGAATGCCTTTAAAAAAAATTATGGAAGCTTTTGTCATGTTTCCAATCTTAAACTTTGATGTAATTTTCAAATCTAAGCACAAAATCTCAAGTGGATTTAGAGCTGTACTTTGACTGGGCCTTTCTAAGACCAGTTTTGATCTGAGATGGCAATCTGAAGTATGTGGCTGATTCTGGGGTAAGGGTCTGAAGCTTTTACAACCAGAAAAGATTTTAACTCTGAGGCCAGCCAAATAAAACTCGTCTTTTGAAAAAAGATCGACTTATAATTTTAGACAAAATATCTATTGAAGGAAATCTGTTATATTTAAAGAACCACTATTTATTTTTATTTTTAGGATTGACAATAAAGCTAAACATAAAATTTAGAAAAAAATAAAATTTTGCAAGAATAAAAAGGAAAAACTGGACAAACCAACTGAAAGGTCCAAACAGCCACTTGTAGCATGACTAATATTAAAACGGATCACAGACGGCGCCTCCAACTGCGTTCATGTGACCGACTCTAAAAGCCCGAGTTTTTTCCGGACCTCCAGAAGAACCGGGACTGTTTTTCCTCTGGGATTGCTCTCAGCATCTGTTGCAGTGACCCAGAACCTTCTCTATTTATTGCAGCCTCCGAGTGGGTCAGTCCACAACTTCCAACATGTCGAATTGGGATCAGATGTTTAAGAGAAGCGTCATATGCAGCTTCCGCCTGCTTGAGTCGGGCAGAAAAATCCAACAACTGCTAATTACAAGGCAAAATGGAAGAACGGAAAGTAGCACTGAGCATTCATGATCCACTTAGCCGCTGCATTTTCTCCTGTTTTTATAAATAAGCTAGCTTTGGCAGCCTCGTGGTTGATTTTTCTTGGAAATAAACTCTGTGCACAACGTCGCTGTTCAGCGGTGTGGCACCCATCGGGTCAAAGGTTGTTCATCAGCAGTTTCTGCTCCAGATCCCCCAGAGAGATGACGACCCAGAGGAGAAGCTGAAGGAAACACAGATATCGCCTGACTCGTCTGTCAGCGCTGCTCTATGTGTCTCTTTTGCTTTTTAAGAAGTTATCAATAAGTGCAAAGATTGTATTTGTTACCAAAGCAGCTGTAGATTTACGGACTTCTAATCCTGGTTGTGCACAAGGTGGAAAGCAACCTGTTTGTTTCTGCAGGATAAGATGGATGGCTTCGTTCCAGCTCACTTCCTGGGGTGGTACATAAAGGTAAACACCGACAGTTTATCCAACAATCAACTTAAGAGACTGCAAAAACACAACATCCAGCCAATAATTTTTAATTTAGTTTCTAGTGCAAACATCTTGCCACACTTGAAATAAGATGAAACTGACTTACAAGTAACTTTTCTTGTTTTAAGACAATAATTCCTATAAAAAGAATTAGTTATTACCTCCTTTGACAGATTATTTCACTTACATTTTTCTTTTGCCACAAGTGAAATAATCTACCAGTTGAACTAGTAAATTAAGAAAAAACAATATTAAGGAATTATTGCAGAAAAGTTACTTGTAACTTAGCTTTGTTTTATTTCAAGTGTACAAAGATACTTGCCATGTGTCAAACTCGAGGCCCGTGGGCCAAATCCGGGCCACCACAGCTCTTTATGTGGCCCTCTAGATTCTAGACTAAACACTAAATGTGCTTAAGTATTATCTTATTCATCAAATCGGTGCAGTTTTTATCTGTTTACTGCCAAATTATATCAATCAGTCCCTCCAGTTTTTTTTAGGATTATCATGAAAATTCACAAAAAAAAATTCACAAATTCCTTCCCATTTTTTGCACTAATTGGAGTTTATTGCAGATTTTTATCAAATTGTAAAAAACTTTACTTGTTCTAAACGGCTGCATCAGCCTTAAAGGATGTCAGATTGTAGTCCATGATCTGTGCAGCGTGTAATAGAAAGTCACATTTACCGTCATAAATAAGCGCAAATATTTCCAAATTAGTACCACAAACACTTTGATTTTTATTGCAAAAAAAAAAATCACAAAAAGAATCTCAAAATCCTGTAGGGACTGAAAAGATGTTCAATAATGTTTAATTTTAAGAAGTAATTAATATTTTAACAGTTTGTGAACAGGTTTTATCGATACATTCTGGCATATCCGGCCCTTTAAGAAGGTTCATGATCTGGATTTGGCCCAAAATGAAAATGAGTTTGACACCCCTGCCCTAAAAACTAGACCAAAAATACTTTGGGGGGTGGGGGGAGGGTTTGTTCCTCCTTTATAAAATCATGTGAGTATATGACATCAGAATCTTAAATATGTTGTGTTAATGGAAGAACTTCTTTGCAGTTGCTTACTGTAAAGATCCAGCCTGACATTTTGAAGATGAAGACACCCCATCGCTCTGATCAGCCTCACCTTTAACAGGTCTTTTGTCTTGTGTTTCCTGTCAGACGCTGATGATTCGGGATTGGTGGATGTGTATGATGATCAGTGTGATGTTCGAGTTCCTGGAATACAGCCTGGAGCATCAGCTACCAAACTTCTCAGAGTGCTGGTGGGACCATGTGCGTACAGCCACTGCTTACTTCTTTATCCCAACACACTTGAGATAAGACGCTTGGAGCTTTAATTAAGACTACATGTCACTAAAATAACGATTATTCTTTATCTAATTTAATATCTTAGTCCTGTTTGTCTCTGTCATTTTGCTGCTTAGCTTTAATTACACAGTCTTTCAAAATAAATGTGATGGATTCCAAACAAAGGGCATTTGTTTGGAACTCATAATGGTCTTAAAAAGTCCATTATGAGTCAGTGAAAAAAACATGAATAATACATGAGGGAAGGTTTTTCCTATAAAACAACAATTCTGAAAGGACAATTTTCCCTTTTATTTAACGACGCTAACAGAGGAGTCATCAGGATGTTGGTCTCTTGCTTCCCACTTTGTCCTAATAAAAGTTGCCATCCATCAACGTGCGAGTGGATTACAGCTTGACCTCACTGACCTTTTTAACAAAAGCTATCCTCTCGCCCCCAGTGGATCATGGATGTGTTGGTGTGCAACGGTTTGGGGATCTACTGCGGCATGAAGACGCTGGCCTGGCTGTCCATGAAGCCGTACCAGTGGCAGGGCCTCTGGAACATTCCTACGTACAAGTAAGGCTTCAAAACGACTGCTTCCTCCGAAGAGATTCAGTTCAATCTGACACAAGTCCAATATGAAATAGAAGTAGTTCTTTCTTTTAGTATGAGCTTCTTTTTTTTAAATAAAGCAGCTGAAATGACGAAAGAAAAAGTCGGATTCATATAAAACTGTGAAAAAAAGCAGGATTTTATCAAATCCTTGTTTTTAGCTGTTGTATTTTTGTATTTATTCACATTTCTAACCATCTACTCATCACTTTTCTTCGTAGGGGGAAGATAAAGCGCATAGCATTCCAGTTCACACCGTACAGCTGGGCCAAGTTCGAGTGGAGGCCGGCTTCGGACCTTCGGCGCTGGCTCGCCGTGTTGGGGATTATCTTCATGGTAACGAGATCTCACTGCCGATTTGAAAGGACTTTAGGTCATTTTGGGCAGATGCCACATTGCAAAACGACTCCAAAGCTCCGACAACAGCTTGTGTACAGTGCTTTGCAGAACTATTCATACTTTAGTTCTTTTTTTAAAAATTTAGTCAAACCAAAGTTCCTACCCTTGAAGTGATTTTTTTTTTCCTTTTTGAGGCTCTTACGGAGCAGCTGTGATTATGCTGAGATTAGATTACGCACACTTGGAGTCGCATGATTGGTTAAAAAGCGCTGAAGCTTTCGGTTGTAGTGTGATCAAATGTGAAAAGGTTAAGGGTCGAGTATTTGTGCAAAGGAGCTGAACCTTTAGAACAGGGCTGTGTAACTCTGCAGCTGCGTCTCCATCACAATTGTGTTCAGAACTTTAATATTTCACTTATGTCAAAAAATAAAATTTTTCACTTGCAGTGTTTCCATTAAATAAGAAACACAATTAAAATCGTACGTGAATAAGTTTGTTCACTCGATTAAAAAACATGTTGCATCTTCATCCTCCTGCCACTTCCTGTCTTCATCTTTGTCATTTCTGCCAGTAGCAACATCTGGTTGTTGATCACATGACTTGTGATGCCAAAAACTAGTTTCAATTGCAGTTTAAAGAAATGAACTAATTTCAATGCAGCTGAAAAAGCGCCTCATCCCAAAGCAAAAACATTTTAGCAAAACAGTTTTTTCAAATTTGCTGTGTTTCCATTAAGCAAATTTATTTTTGTAATTACAATTTGCACAATTTTATGGCCAATAGAAACGCAGATATTGGCTCTTAATAACTCTGTGTTTTCAAATATGGACAAAATGACAACATTAAGGTTTTATATCTGCCTGAAAATGCAGTTTTTTGTGTCATTAGCTGGAAACCAGATGCTTTAATTTTAGATCATTTTCTAGAAATTTTAACATTTTTGTAGAAGACAAACACCTTCTGCTTTCAAACATCTTGTGTTGGTGTTTATTTTCTTTTCAGATGTAACTATAGAAATAAAATGTCAACTCTTGAAAAATGACTTGTTTTACCCATCAAAAATAAGAAACTTTTTTTTCTGATTTTTTTTTCCATTTTTAGCAGCATTAAGAGTAAAAAAATGACTATTTGGACTATAAAAGTTATACACCCTGTGCTTTAGAAGTTATCTAAATCAATCCCATGCAAATTTTTCCTTTGGTTTTAAGTTTTCTCTCACTTTTTTGCTCCTGGATTCATACATGTTTGTTTTTTTTGAACCTCCTCGTAGTTCCTGCTGGCGGAGCTGAACACCTTCTACCTGAAGTTTGTGCTCTGGATGCCTCCTGAACACTACCTGGTGCTGCTGCGCCTCGTCTTCTTCGTCAACGTGGGCGGCGTGGCCATGAGGGAGATCTACGACTTCATGGACGACCCGTCAGTACCGGAGTTCATCCTCCAGACGTTTGTCCGGGTCGCATCGGTTTGCCCTCATCGTGTGACTTCTCCCAACAGGAAGTTCCACAAGAAGCTGGGCCAGCAGGCGTGGCTGGTGTCGGCCATAACGGTGACGGAGTTCCTCATCGTAGTCAAGTACGACCCCCACACCCTCATGTTGCCCATCCCCTTCTCCGTCATGCAGTGCTGGTTCTTGGGCATCTTCCTCATCCTCATCTGGACCCTGTGGAGGTTCTTCATCCGGTAAGAAGAGAGTCGAGTTTGTTCTCGTCTCGCAGGACTTTGAAAAATATATGTTTTTACATTTTATCCAAAAATACATTTAAGAATGCTCAAAGCACATCCAGAAATCCAGAAATGTTAAGAGGAATAAAACTGCGTCAACATGGAATGACTCATCTGATTAAGTTTATTTTCTAGATAAAAATTATGCAAATTATTTTAGACTTTTTGTTAAAAATATTCTAGGAAACTTGAAGTGGCAGTTATTTAGTCTAAAGTTTTATTTCAAAGGTCCTAGAGAGTGTTGGAAAAGTGAGAAACTTGATCTATATATTTTTAAAGTCTAAACGGAGAACAGAAAAACTTTACGTCCTTTCGCTTTAAACTCAGATAAAATGCACGTCCATACATCTGTCCATCCTTCTGTCCTCAGTAAAAGAAACACTGCCAGTGTTCCTTAGTGAACTATTATTACCTTAACATTTCTACAGAACCAAGAATTCTGTATAAATGTGGAAATTTGATATGAAAAATGTTGAGGCTAAACCTAAAATGTTTAGTGTCATTTTGTTGTAGAAATCAAATCCAATAAAAGCTGTAAATGGGAACTTTTTTTTTCTTTTTCTTATATATATATATACTTAAAATGTCAAAAAATTTTCTTTATCATTAAGTGCAAATTGCCACTTAATGGAGCCGTTATTGAATATCCAGAGTTTTGCAGACTCCTGGTGTAGGCCTATTCAAGTGTGTGTGTGTGTGTGTGTGTGTGTGTGTGTGTGTGTTTTTTTTTTAAAATAAAATGGATAAACTTTAATGACTTGCAGCCAAATGGATTCCCACTGAAACCGTCTGCAGCAAAGCATCTTAAATCCAACATGGCAAAAACTGTTTCACCTATTTATGTTGTCTGCTTCCACCTTCCTAATTTAAAACAAGCTGCTTGTACCAACAGCGTCTAAAATAACTAGCCTACATTTGCTGTTATTAATAACAGTCTGAGTCTAGTTCTACTTTTCCTTCACATAAATAAGAACCCAGAGCAGAGGTAGGCAGCGCTAGATGAGACACAAACTTAAGACTTCATCATATTGTGTCTGATTTGTAGTCGTGATAAAAAAAAGTACATCTGAATTCAACACTATAAATTTTCTTCTGTCTGCAAGTCGAGCTGAACACATGGAGCCTCACAGAGATAAAGCTCTCAAATTACAACTTTAGTCAATTCATCACTGCAGTGGTTACATTAAGTGGTGTAATTGGTGCTTGACAGTTAATAAATATAGAATTGATCATATTTAGATGGATTTAGGAGTCTATGGCCTTTTTTTTGAATAGACAGTGGGGGGAAACCAAGTCATGTCGCGTCTTCAGGAGTTTTTCTGTGTTTGCAGAGCGACTTGTTCAAAATCTACAACATTCTTCACAAACTCCACTACTAAACAACTGAACAGCCAGGTCTTGTCCGTACAGGAGCTTCATGTCTTTGAACATGGAGCTTTCAAGGTTTGGAAAATGTTTGATTTCTGTGGGGAAAAAAGAGCTTTATGTTCAAACTGCACTGATTTGTAGAAGTGAAATTCAACGTTCGATTAAAAAAAAAAAAAAAAAGCCTATTTACCAGATATTTTTCATACATATAATAAAAAGACACATTTTCCCCTCACTGTCTTAAGTTGAACCAAACATTTCTTGGTTTATGTCAGATAGAAATGCTAGAATTATTTCTGATTGCTAAAAACCAGAAAACCTACCGAAAACATTTTTTAGAGATTATTTTGTAACTTTTTTTTGTATATTGCGTCTCAGCAACCAGTGTGAGACAGAAAGTTACTCACATTACATATTTGCTTGGATTGTTTCAACGTAATGAATATTTATTATTATTCCTCATGACCCAACGAGTTATTGATTCATGTAACTGGAATAAAAGCTTATATTTTATTAACTGTTTTGTTCTTGGACCACTTAAATATGGTTGAAATTAATAATAATGATAAATTGTCATATAATGGTGAAACCGTTTTCTTTTTAGTTCCTTTGTATCTTTTTTTTTATCTCCAAAGTGTGGTGCTGAAAAAGTTTGAAAACTTGAAAAGTCCTTGAAATTTCCTGTGGGAAAAGTTTACGAGAGCCAGATATAAGCATGCCTTTTACTTTTCAGGAATGCATCAAATTTGTTTGTTTTTTTTTTTTTTGGTCCCATTTTCTTGTTTCAAATTGTAAAATCTGACAGAAATAATGTATTTTTTTTTCCAGGCTTTTACATTTTCTCCACCACATTGTTTCTTCTTGTCAAGGAAATTCACTCCTAAGACAATCCTCAGGGCTAACTCCTCGTTTCCTGTCCTTCCCAACTTCACAGTGACATTACGCTCCGTTACAAAGAGACGCGCCGGCGCAAACAGGAAGCGCCTGTGGACTGGGACCGCCAGCTGGGGAACGGCAGCCCGGGGGCGGCGGGAGCGGCGGGTTTGGCATCGTCGGGCCGCAGCAAACTGAACGGCAGCTCCGACTCGCTGCGACAGAGGAAGTCCTGAGAGGAACTGAGGGGGAAGTTTGTGCAATGACACGCGTAGAGGCAACCAGGTGGACTTACTCTTGTGCCTACAGCAACAACTCAAAGGGGTGGGGGGGGGGTTGCCATGGTAACAGAAAGTTTAGTTGCTGAAAGGTGTAGTCAGTCACACTACAAGAAGTTACCTCATTCTGCTTCTTTTTTTCTTTTTTAAACATTGGTGGAGCTACGCTCTGTAAAAGTTTTTGTTCCCGTCTCGAATGTTCAGGGCTGACGGACTGAATGCACTCTTTGAATCCGATCAGTTTCCATTTTTACTGCAGACGAAACGCCGCGAGCGTCTGCAACATTCCCTCCTCTGTAAATATTCCCGTTTTCCGTCGCGAAGGTAAGAGACGTTGCCGACTTCCTGTCGGCCACTGCTATGCAATCGGAGAATCTGGGATTTATTCATACATTTAACAATCACAAAGTGGAAGTCAGAGTCATTTTTGACGGTTTAAAGCTGGTCCCAAGTACACAAGACGATGTTTATATGCTGTTTAGGTAGGCTTTTTATTATTATTATTATAGTTATTAATAAGATTTTAGGTCGGTTTCCAGGATGTACGAGACTTTCAAATGGGTTTACAAAGTAAACTGAAAATGTTAACTTTGAGTTAAAGAAAAATCTTCATGTTGTCTTCTAATTATTTGCCTGGTGATGTAATCGTTTGGGGAGGAGGGATGTGCGGTGGGGTGGTTGATTTTTATCTCTGGCTTGTGCTGGAGTTTCGTTAAAATTGTTGAAAATCAGGTTGTTGGTGCAGGGGGAAAAAAATAGAAAAACAAAAATCAAGTTGTCAAAAATACCGTCTTTTTGTGACAAGATTAGCTAAATCTTTTAAATTTCACAAACTTGATATAAGCTTATTTTTCTCTGCCTGAATAAGGTTTCTTTGCCGCCTCGTTGTCCAGTAAAAGTACTCTCAGCCTTTTTAAGCATCTCCGTTTGGGGTCAAGAGAAAATATTTCAGGATTAGAACCGAAAACCAAAGCTAGGAATCTAAAGCTGGGATTATTTAAGACGTGTATGTTCCAAACCTGTAGACTCTGGGTTCATTTAGAAAAAATGGTTTTTAAAACTGCTTTATGTCATTTGTGATCGCTCTGCAAAAAAGCTAAAAGGAAAGAAACTGTTACCAAAACTTAGTGTTTTTTTTTTATGTGCTCCTTTGTGACAAAGATGCTGACAAAAGTCGACGCCGCCTGTGAATCACGGCTTCTGTCCTTCCTGCTGTGGGATCTAGCGCGTCGAGACACTTGTAGTAGAGTTTGTGTAAGTAATCGATTCAAAAGCAGGAGAATTTAGAAAACTGACTTCATTTTTGCCAAACACTAGACAGAAACATGCCATTTCTTGTCTTTAATGAATACACTGATTTCTGTGCAGTTATTTCTCAACATATATTCTATTTATCTGATGCATTACAATTAATTTTTTCATCCCATCCTTGAAAGTTCCTCCCCCCAACCCCCAGATGGTATTTTGTCATTTAATTGATTTAAATATTTTATCGTATTAAATGAAAGTCTCCAAATTACACTTGAAAAGTGAAAATAAAAAAATCAGAACAGGAAATTGAATAAGCATTACCTAAACAAGATTGTTTTCCATGTGGTTGTTTGCGGGGTTGGTTAGCATCTCTTTCTGCCACACGGGGGCGCTAGATGTCGTCGTTTGAGCTCCGTGCAGCCATGTTTCAATGTACTTTGAGTAAATGTGAACATGTTAGGGATTATTAACAGGATTATGCTGCTGCTCAATGTAATTTTATAAAGTTTTTTTTTAATAAAATCAATAAAAACTGAACTTTAATGTGTCTGGTTAATATTCTAAATATAATTGAAGTTTTTTGTTTTTTTTTGTTTTGTTTTTTTTGCAAAAAGAGGAAGAAAAAAGTTTGGACTTTTTAAAATTAGAAGTACATCTTGTCATTTGGTTGCCAAGGCGACAAGCCTGTTGCATTCATGCTGCATGTGTTGGTCAATCCATGGTTTCAGCATTATGATGAGGCCAACTGGTTGGATGACATTTTCGTTGTTGCCATCATGAAAGTTTGCCAATAACGGATTACAGCAAACACTTAAGTTTGGAGAAGAATGAATCGTTTTAAGATCATTGTTTCATCATACTTTTATGAACTACAATAAAACTATTCGCTTTTAGCTACATCTCCCAGCATGATGTGAAATAACATTGTGGTTGATGGTTTTATTTTAACCGAACGATCTCTTTACTAGATAAGCACCCTGTTGAGCTTCTTTGTTTTGTTCCAGGAAATGTTTGGGTCTGTTTCAGGAAATAAAGCGAGTCGTTACATATGCTAAATACTACTATTCCACATTTTGTCATGTTATAAAACCAAAACTTTAACTTTAGGGGGCTTTTATTTTTTACCAACAAGGTAATGCGTAATTGAAAAATAAAAGGTCAAAAAATGTTTTAATTTTTTTGCAAAGATCTGAAAAGTGTGGTGTGCACATGTTCCACAGCAAAATGGTGCCACCAGGTTTCATCTTGGAAATTGAGTGTTCAAGGCAATGAGCGACATTGCATTGCTTAGTACATCAGTTACTTATGGAGTACCACAGGGGTTAGAGCTCGGCCCAATTCAGTTTTACAGTAATATATCTGCTGTAGTTTTCAATCTGCACTGTATAATAAACTGATTAGGATTAATATCAAAGTACATCTTTCCACAACTTTAGCATTTAACAGCTGATATGTTCTATTAAATAAAATCCATTGAGGTTTACAATTGGAATGTGATTAAAATCATGAATTCTTTTGCAAGAAAGAATAATTTTAAACCAGTTAAATTCCACTTATTTTATTGCATAGTGTAGTTGATCTTTCACCCATTTCCTCACCATTAATCACTTTCAAACATTTAACTGATTCTAAAAAAACTTGCATAGCCTATTAAACTAATATCCAGAAAGATTACATCTTCCTTTGGTTTATTAGAAGTACTGCATCTCTCCTTACAGTGCTGCCTGAAGCAGCTGGAGTGGGTTTAGGAAATTCCTCTTAGAAATAGTAGAAAACATTCTTGAGGACAAAGCAGCAACCTGAACATTTCAGAAGCTATAAGTATGGAAACAAAAAGAGTAAGAATCATTTTTTTGAGCGTAGCATTTGGTTAAAAATGCATGTATCCGAGACACTTTGGTTCAAGATTAAAAAATAGCAGAGCACGTCATTTTTTGGGTAAAAGGCAACATGTGAAGCGAAACAATTCAACGCGGAGTCAGATTTAACAGGAGAAAATGTGCAAAATGGTGAGTTCAATCTCACTCACCGACCTTTTGTTCCAAAAAAAAAAAATATATATATATATATATAAAAAATCCGACATTTAGAAGAATAAAAAAAATCTAAATGGCTAACATTCATTTTTCAGTAACTAACAGGATGCTGGTTTAAGTAGCTGCCACATTAGTGAGATAACAGCAGCTGCCAATTGGTCCCTATGATGTGACCAGTTTGAAGCCCTGCTGGGTGTCCAGTACAGCTGGTGGGAACCAGTTCAGCTTGATTCTCCTCAGGTACCGCAGACAGAAGCTGCAGACCCCCAGCAGCTTGAGGCCGCCGCACCACACCGCCAGCTGCACCACAGGGTAGGTCACGCGGGGGAAGTACATGCTCCAATGGTTGGTGACGTCGCTTCCTGTCGGCAGGTGCAGCGTGTAGTCGCTCCAGTGCCTGGAGACGCCGTAGGCGGCTGAGATGGCCCGGCCCCTCTCGGACCAGCGGACGCCGCTGCTAGGGTTGCAGTTGTAGTCCACCCACTGAGTGGTGAAGTCCCCGAGCTGCGGGGACTCCCGCCGCTCCGCGTTGCCGGCCCACTCGAGCGACGCGCCCTGCACGGCCACGTGCAGCCCCTCCACGCGCCGGACCTCTTTCACCCAGGGCAGCGAGTGGTCGCAGTCCAGCACGACGATGAGGCGGGAGCAGAACTCCCCGTTCTTCTCCCTCCACCACTCCACGAGCTGATCCAGGCGGAGGACGTCTCCACCTGAGCAAATGCACAAAACCAGATTAGAAATCCATCGGACATCTCAGGGCATCTGCAGGCAAACGGAAGAGTTTTTAAGGCCTTAATAATGCTGCCTTGAATGTAATTTAAGACCAAAAAACTATAGGTTGGGCGATCCTGCTGGGTACACCAACTCAAATTTATGCCCCTAAAATCTTAAGACTATTTTGAATGAAGTTTAAGACCTGCATCATGACAAATCTACAAAAGAAAAATTGTGTTTTATTCAGTAGTATCAAGCTTTTTTTTTTTGCCCAGAATTTACTAACATTGTACATTTTGGGTACAGAAAAGAGCCAGTGATGGACACAAAAGTCGTCTAGCCAACAGGCCGTAAAATACACTGAAATAATGGATGCAAAAGAGCTACCTAGTTTGCAAGCGTATATTAGCTAGCCGCCGAGGCTAGTTAGCGGTAGCCTCAACTGCCTGAGTCACAGAACGCAGTGAAGATGTCTTAATTTAAGGCGTTTTAAGGCCTTAATTTTAGATGACTTTGTAAGGGTGTGCAGACACCCTGTCTCTTTCAAAAAGCAGATCAAGACCGTTTCAGTTTGACGGACGTCCCACCTGCCAGGGCCCACTCTCCGCTACGGTGCGTGTGGCCGCTGTAGAAGATCACGTATGTGTCGTGGCGAGGCCCGTCTGTTGTGCGGAGCTCCAAGAAAGACTTGATCTTCGCCTGCAGGGTCTCCAGGGTGATGCCGCTCGTGGAGTAGTCGCAACCGTAGTTTTCGATCAGGTGGCAGGCGAAGAAGCGCTGCACGCTGCTCAGCATGCCGGTGGAGCGCTTGTTCAGCTCCTGCACCTGGTCTGGCGGCAGCAGCAGGGGCTGGCCGTCAGGACTGACGGACCCAAACGGAGACGCATTATAAATTTAGTGGCTCTTACCGTTAAAACTAAGCGGTTTGGTTCATTGCAGCGCCACCTACCTGCAGAAGTTGGTGGGGATGACCACAGCATAGCCCACGCAGGTCCCACCCAGACTGTTCCCGAGCTCGTAGAAGAGTCCGTGAAGCAGACACTCCAGGGGCAGGATGAGCAGAAACGTACTCATGAAGATACCGCTGGACTCCTGCCGATGGGTCACACAAGGCAAACGTGAAGCTTATCAAAGGTCTTATGATAAGAATTTTGATTCATCATTCTCACAATAAATTCCAATTAATTTTTTTTTCTTCTTTTTTTTTTTTTTAGAAAAAAACTGTAATGCTACTGGAATGTTTCTACTATTGTCCCCAATGTTTGTTCAATTAGCGCATCGATAAATAATTCAATTTTAAAATATACTGCTCAAAAAAATAAAGGGAACATTTCACTTTAATTTTGTGTGTGGCTCCAAATCCAGGCCTCCATTGGTTAATAAATTTGATTTCCATTGATGATTTTTGTGTGATTTTGTTGTCAGCACATTCAACTTTGTACAGAACAAAGTATTCAGTGAGAATATTTCAGATCTAGGATGTGTTATTTGAGTGTTCCCTTTATTTTTTTGAGCACTGTATGATGAAATGCAGTTGATGTGGGCAGTTTAGTGATACAAGTCACCCTTTCTGTGACTGATACCCTAAAGAAGCATATTAGAAATGGGAATGTTTTGCGTTTGTGGTCCTCTCACTGCTGTGCCATGCGTCAGTTACCTTAAAATGAAGCAATAAATAGTCACTTTTGTTATAATAGTATCACAAAATATCGCAATAAAACTTGAATCCCTAATAATGCAAATTTTTTCTAATTAAAAAATGCAATTTATCATTGAGCAAATAAAAAAAATTGAGGTAGAGGTGAGAATCTACAATACAGAAAACTGAATTTCAAGATGGATTCTGAAACTGAAGTATAGATCTGAGCATCAGCACATATCGATACTTTATAGTATCGATTGATACTGATACCGACTATATATAATAGTTGGTATCCGCCAGTCTCTAATGAATTATTGTTCCTACCTGCCAGCTAAAAACAGCCACAGCAACAGTGGACACCAGCGCGAAGAACACCAGGTCTGCGGAAATGAGGCAGAAGTGCCTCATACCCTTCGAGGCCATGATCTTCTCCAGGCTGGAGTCCTCTGGGCCCTGCGTCCAACACAGTCTCTGGCAGTCACTGAGCTTGTTGTGAAAGCCCCACACAGTGATCACCAACACCATGTGGCAGATGGCCCAGAAGAACACGCACACCACAAAGCCCGGGATCACCAGGTACCACTGGTCCGAGTCCCGAGACTTCTGAGCCGCTACGGCGACGAAGGCCACCTCGATCGCCAGCAGAGGCAGGATGGTCAGGCGACGCCTCAGACCGCTGGACACCAGGATGGGCCGCCAGCGCTCGATGACGGAAAGCCCGCTGAAGTAGGAGTCCAGCAGAGGGTCGCAGATGAGCTGGCTGAAGAAGCAGGCGAGAGCGAACGGGTTGGCGTCGATGCTCAAGCACTTCAAGAAGAAACTCCCGGTGATGCATGTGAAGCAGGCGAAGTTGGGGAAGGCCAGGAGAGCCTTGGTGCGCAGGGTGACCATGACCGCACCGAGAGCCACGACCAGCACCATGACGCTCAGGGACTGCTTGATGAGGAGCGCCGTGCTGGCTGCCGCGAAGCCGGTCAGCTCCAGGCGCTCCGCGGAGGTGATGAAGGCGGGTCGGTACCGGGTGCAGCCTAGCAGCCGCTCCAGCAACGACCACAACGTCCTCAGAACCACGCTGGCCAGCAGCAGGTAGTTGGCCGCGCGCTCCTTGACGTCGGCCTCCAGGCCGGGCGGGTTGAGGAAGCTCA